CCCCCCCACACCTGTGGGCCAAACGAGGCACAGCTCCCCACTGTGGGAAGTTACCTCCATCTGAAACTTGGTTTTTTAAAGAGTGTATAACACGTGTTATAGTGGAGTGTGGACTCTGACACCTCAGAGTAACTGTGATGTTCAGGTGTCTCAGGAATCGACAGCACCTGCTACCACAGGTTGCTAAAATAAGCTTCTGATAGTGAAATTAAACTTTTTGTTAGATCCATACTGTAGAGCCCCCTGATTTCCCCTCAAGTGGGCATCATCATCACAATATAAGAGGTGAGAAAGCTTTATGGACAGTCGTCTCCACAGTGCTTTTGTTGTCTTCCTGACCGTTCAAACAAGCCACACTCGCACAGGGCTCTAATCTATACACTTACACGCTCTTTCCATCTCAGGTCCACACCTACGGCCAATTTTAGAATTACCAATTAACTCTGGGCTGCAGGAGGAAACCAGAGCAGCCACACATGCAGACTCTCCACAGGAAGGACCCAGGCAGCTTTAAACCCACTGCTTAACTGCTGTGTTCACTCAAATGAGCTTTGTACAAATAAACAAGCTAAACAGATTCCTAAAGCTTTGGTCAATCAGTAACCCTACGAGCTCACTAATGAGCTCATCAGTGCGCACATCCCGACGTCCCACTGGTAAAAGTCCAGTGACAAAGTGGGATAAACCTCAGATCACAAATGACTCCCTGAGAAGATGAACCGTCCTTGCACTTGCTGCTGTTTCAGACTTCGAGGTGTATCGATTCAGCCAAGCCAGGAAATTCCCTCCACGTGCATCCGACTGAGCACTTGCATCCAGATACGTTTCAGATACTTTCTTCAGTGTCCAATCTTGTTCCTCTCACACAAATTTGGATCCAAATCACAATCACCTCCAAAGGTTTTTATCTAAATCTGCCCGTACCTTTCTGCTAGTGCCTTCTTGCTGTGAAGCAGGAATCATTTCATCACTGTTCAGTAACATCACCACAGACAGGCTTCCCAAAGACATTTTATGCAACATGAAGCTCAATGCTACAGCACGGATATTACATTTAGAGCCCCCAGGTGATGAACATGAGATATCTACAGCTTCATGTATAGTTCTAGCAGCAGCTGCACACAATGAAGCTTCAACTGAAGTTCCTGCTAATCAGCCCTCACCTTACCAGCTTTACTGAAAGCAATCTCCCAACCCAGTGACGGCTGCAACCTTTAAGAACAAAAAAACAGGAAAAAGGCATCGAGTTGTAGAAACCGTTTCAGTGT